CACACACATCTGTGATTTAAAAATAAATTTTACCAATTTACATAATTTGTATGATTCAGTAGATAAGACATTAGAAATGGCAGCTTTGATTCCCAAGGAGATTAAAAGCCATTCAGAAACCCAATTCACCCATTGAAAGAAAAAAAGAAATTAAAAAAAAGATGAAGAGGTTGCCTCTGGAAATTCTATCAGGTCTGAAGTTTGCGGTCTCTGTGAACGTGGGCCACCAGAGCATCCTGCCGAGCTGCTGCCTGATAAGGACTGTATATCCTGTCTTCTTTGTATCACTTTGCATGCAGCTCACATTACTTCATTTCCTTTCTGGAACCTTTCCCCGGATTCTTCATATAAGGTCAAACATGAAAGAGACGTGCGTTGAGTTCTGGTGTCCTGAGTGGCTTCTTCCAAATTTGTCCAGGCACTAATTTCTCTCTAAAACTCGGCTTTCTCAACTGAACTATGAGATCTTAATGATCATCTTTGCCCTGTGGATATCCCTTAATGTTTTGATGTATTCTTTATGAAATAAAACATAGAAAATACCTCTGAAAAATTTGAAAGTTATGTATTATGACCACGTGTGTTTTGTAAGGAGATTTTAAAGAGTTTATTTGAACAAGTTTTCTTTCTTTAGGTTTCTTGATGTGTTTCTTTGCTTTAGAGAATTGAAGCCATCAGGGCTGGCCACACAGGAAGTTGGCTTTCACATTTAGATAAATAAGGAGGCAACCGAAAAACCTTCTGACCCCAAAATCTCTACCACACTGTGTCCTGACCCTCTACACTTTGCTTTGTCCTATTTAGTGTAATTTCAGAGGTGAGATACCTTCCTTTGATTTAACAAATATTGATTAGTAATGTAAACTTGTAATTCATTATATATACATAGGAAGACACTCTTGCAAGTGAAATAACATGCTTTTAATAATCAGGACAACAGGTATCAACCAGGACTGTGCTGGGCAACCCCGATTCATTGTTCATGCCTCTGTATGGATTTAAGTTGGCTGCTTTCTCAGGCAGATTTCTTACACTTAAAAAATTGATTGTGAAAGGGGATGGAGGAGTAATAAGAAAATAATTAATTTTGCAATAAAATTCAAGTTATTGTGGAGGACTTGAATAGCATGAGGGCCAGTGGATGCCTAGAAACCCGCTGATAGCATATGTTCTTGGTAATTTGGCTGGTTTTTATGTTTTCAATGTCTGCTTACTGCCACCTGTATGAGTGCTGATTTCAACAAAATACTTTGGCTGCTCTCCTAAAAACAAGTAGAGAAAAATGATTTCAGAACAAAAATAATAGATTTTGATCAATGTTATAATGTTTTAAAATATTTATTTTCATAAAGTAAGATCTCTAGACATCACTTTCCTGTGTCCAAGGGCATATAAAACAAATATTACATATATTATACATATATATGTTATATATAACATCAATTACATATATTACACAATGGCATATATAACATATATTGCATATATTATACATTTATTGTTACATATATTATACATTAATATATAAATATATATGCATGTGTTTGTATATATAGACATATGTAAATATATATATATATAATATCCATTCACCTGATTATGGCTGTGGAAGCAAGAAAGCTTGAACACATAAAAAAGTGTTTTAGTGTCACAAAAGCTGTTACAGTTGGTTGTAGGAGACTGCAGCTTCCTCTGTCTGTCTGTACCCTAGACAGACAAGCGTCACATTACATCATATCAGCAATTAGGCTGAGACTGCTCAGTTATTATCTGTTAACATCTTACATGAAATGAGGAACTTTTCTTTCTCATGACCTGAATCAAACTGTTATTCCTTTACTTATCGCTAAATACCTAATCTACACAAACACTGTGGTAGAAAATTAATTTTCTCATTTATGATGTTTTCTTCCCCAAAACTTTATAAGTTGGATGCTGATACCTTCATTGCACACATAACAAAGCCAAAATCTAGTGGAGTTGTATAACTTTCCCAAATCTGCATAGCTAACAAATGCTTGAGTTGATATTCACATACATTATTTCATGTATATATCCAACAAATATTCGTTGAACTCATCCTATGTTCTAAGCCTTATTATAGGTACAAGTTATTCATTGTTGTATAAGACAGCCATGTCCCTGCTCTTAAAGATCTTACTTTCCAGTAAGGGAAGTAAATATTAATAATTATTATCTTAAAAACTATATATATATTTATATACAACTGAACTACAAAGTCTCAGATGATATTATGTTCTATAAAATAAAAGAGTGAGGTAATAAGTCATGACCAATGGGAGGTAATTTGTGCGGGTGGTCATGGAAGGTCTTATTGAGTAGGTAACATGTAAGGTAAATATAGATGAGAAGAAAGACTTAGCCATGAAAAATCTGAGATCAGAGGGAATAAGGGCAAGAGCACAGCCTATAAAATGAAAATAAGTTCAGCTTTTTCGAGGAACGGAGTGAAAGTCAACAGAGCTGGGCTATAAGGAGTAAGAGGCAACATTGTGGGAGTCAACTATCTGTAAACACTACTCTATTTTGCGTGCCTGTTAGCCTGCTAATTGTTCTGAAACATTCAAACTTCGCAGGTAGTCTGTGTCCAGCTAAGAAAATTAGAGTTTCACACTTACATGGGAATCATCAGAGGGGAAAACGTACATTGGAAAATGGTATAACTGGACCGTGGCTTTTGTGTCAGTCCAATAAGCTGTTGAAACAACCTGCTTTGCACTGGAAGAGACACAGCAAAGGTTATCAGTGTGTGTAAGTATGTATTCTTTCCTTCTCTTTATATCCCATGGACTTGGAAGATTGCAGAGATATATAAATATATATATATATATATATATTCTCATGCATTCTTCACAACGTGCTGTGTGTAATTAGTGTCAAAGTGCGGACATTAACCCAGATTCCCAACTCCAGGAGATGAAATAAACATTTAAAAGACTGAAGTTTCTTTAACCCAAAGAAATCAGTAAAAACATCAGCTATTCCCTTAAGTACCAAACTTCACTTCCCCTTTGTCATTCATCAGCAGGACTCAAGTATGCCCTTGCTGCCCACTGGCAGTGTAAAGGCATTCATTTCTCAACCCTACGATCCCACTAACCTCCCTGAGCAGCACTTTATATTTTGGAACTTTTATGTTTTTTATACATACTCTTTCATTAACTCATATTTATTAATTCACTCATTCAACAATATGTACTGAGTACATACTAGGTTCCTGTTACTACATCACATGTTAGAGTCACAGAAGGGACAAGTCAGAAAAAGTCTTTACCCCCAAGCAGCTTACAGTCTGGTAAAGAAAGTAGGTGATAAACAATAATGTAATGTCAGATCTTGACAAGTGACAGAGAGAGAGATAAAGTCATGTGGAGTCATAGAGTAGGAGGTTCTATTTTACATAAAGAAGGCAAGTGAAGACCTCTCTGGGTAAATGATAGTTGAACAGTGAGTGAACTGAAGTAAAGGGAGGGCAAAACATGCAACTAGATGGAGGAAGAAACTTTTAGAGAAAATGCATGACCCTGTAGTGGGAGGATGCTTGACATTTTTGTGGAACAGCAAAGCCGTGACTATTGGAGAGGGCAGTGGCTATGGTAGGAGAGGTAGCCAGGGGCCAGATCATGGATAAGGCAAAGTCTTCTCAAATATACAAGAAGGTCTTTGCATTGTATGGTAATTTTGATAAGAAGCCGTGTCTAGTGGGAGAAGTGAAGAAGTGAACTTCTCACTAAAATGATACTACTTAATTATAAAACAACCCCTCTAGCTGCTATGTGGAAAACATACTAGGAACTGAGTGAAAAATAAAGAAGAACAACGAGAGTTTTAGGACCAACGTGTACCTCTTCATGTCTTAGGTAAACAAATAAATATGATGGTCTAACTAGCCTACAATAGATGGTAATTTTCTACCCACTTAACCATAACATTTTCACAAACGCTTTATTCTGAAAACAGAATATCTGTACTCTAGTCATATTAATGATAAAATTTGAGGGCACTAAGATTATTAACCAGAGTGATATTTTTATCCCCTCCTTAAATCACTAGACACAGATATTCTACATTCATTTTGTATTGACCTTAATAACTTATCTGGATGATATTAATACTATGGCAATATATTTTTATAATAATCATTCTCAGATGTCCAAAGTGTCAGAGATATATGAAAATAATAATCTAGAAGATTGGAGAAAAATAGAATAAGATATTACTGAGGGGAAATAGGGCAGTCTAAATGACAGTAAAATATGACATGAAAATTAACAGGAGATAAATGAAACAGATCATTTAAGATAAACAATTTTAGAGCATAGAAAGGAAGTACCAGCCACAAGGTCTATTTCCTCCATTAAACCAGCTACTTACTAAATGATACCTTGAAAAACCAGTCCCCAGGGAAGAATCGAATGACACATTTCTGAAAGCCAGTTTATAGCTTGCTAAGTTAAACTCTTCCAGACTGGAGAAAGATGCATGAGAATAGAGGTGGTAACTTTCTTATTCAACAATAAATCCTCTAACCCCAAACAGTGTCAGGTTCATAGTAGATGTTCAATAAAATAATAGTTGTTAAGTATATGATTATATGAATGAATGGGATTCCAGGGATATATTACTCCCCACATTATTTCCATCTCAAAGATAGGAATCCCTAACTTTTAATTCTTTGCTTAGATATTCTGTTTCCTAAATTATTTGTTTTCTACAAATTTAAGAAAGGATATCTCGGATTCTGGGAAAATCGCGCTTGTCTCTTCACGCTGCACCTACAATTGTGAGAAAGCACATTTCAGACAGCAGGGAAAACCCGTAGCTCACCACAACACCGCATTGTAAACTGTTTGGGCCACTAGAGCATGAATTAAAGAGGACAGGAGTAGCTGAACGATCCGGAGGTGAGAGGAAGTGGGTGGAGACAATGTAACTGAATATAAATGCTAAGATCTCAGAGACTCAGAGACTGAACAAGAGCTCCAGCAAAGACTCACTGCAGACTGGCTTGACCTGCGATTAACCAAGGGATCGTGACGAGGATAAAGATGAATTCTGAAGATTGTTCTGCAACAGAGACAAGCTCCTTGCATCTGAAAAGAGGGCAACAAAGTAAGTCAGGTCTTACTCCTCATATCCTGGTAGCATCTATCAATATATCTATATTTATATCTATCTACCTACCTATCTATCTATCTATGATATATAACGGTAGTTAGGGGGGAAATGCAGCTTGTCTTTTGAAGAACTTGGTTGCATTCTATTTCAGTTGGGATAAAGGAGAAAATGGGGAAGAAGTAAATATTTCTTTTTCTATGAGAAGACAAATAGAAACTTGAGAGGAAATCACAAGGGTGAATTTCAGAAGCTCTCTAAAGGTTTGTTTCTTTGTTTTAGTTTATATCATCTCAATTTTTCATATTTAATTAGAAACCTCACTGCCCTAGCCCAGTGAACTGTCCATCATTTTCCCATATCCATCCTACAGGAAGCACTGACTCTCTTTATGGAAAACTCTGTTTTCCACATAAACAATTACATTCTTGATTGCCTTTACCTTGTACCATTTTGTGCTTTCTGTGTGTGCCTTATCTGGTGTTCTCAAGCCAGCATCCTCCAGTTGCTGGGAACAAAGGTTTCTAATTTTTGAGAGAATATCCATATAAACATCTGAACATTTACAGTGTCCAGTGGTAACTTATTAGGAGAAAGTCATGAAAGAATTCTTGAAAATGAAATCTTCTATATTCTTTATGGGACTCTTTTCCTCCATTTCGCTCTTCTATTTCCCCCTTCTAATCGTGGGCTTCAAATTCTACATGAATCAGATGTTTTTCTTCCTTTCTTTTATTTTTCATCAAAACATGATCATCTTTGCTATATACTTTTTCTTCTTTTCTATTTGTCTATTCTCTCCTCAGACCTTTCTATTTTCGATTACCAGGATTTTCCCATTGTTTTACAATAATTTGTTTTGGTGAGGCTTTCTTGATTGGTTTCATTTCTCTCTCTCTTCCTCTATAATTAATGAGGTGCCCCAAGCACTAGCATGTAGGAACTAGAGTTTACTTGTATGCAAACCTAACCAGTAACAAAGAATGTGTTATGAACAGCAGAGCTAAAAAAAATCTAGAGGAAGGGATTGTTTTCTGAGTATGGGTCTACTAGAGTGGTTTGCTTTAGAAAAGCATTCATTACCTCTGATAAACCCATCTTTCACTTAAGAACACAAAATCAAGTGTGGATAACAAGTACAAGCCACAAAAATTTTTTGGTAACCAGATAGCCATAACTTGATGGCTCAGCTGAGCTGCCCAAAAGAAAAAATATATTTAAGAATAAAACCACTCAATAAACAGCATAGTTGAAAGAAGAAGGAGCTATTGTAGTAATTCTTAACTTTTCCTGAGATCATTCCAATTTTCTGTTGAATATTAAATTTATGAATGTTTAGTCTACGCTGCTATTTGTACTTGCTTCATTAGTATAAACAATTATTGATCACCACCCTTGGTGATTCAATATGTACTAGTGGATTTGTTTTCAATTTCTCCATTAATGGACAGGGCTTGTAATCCAAGCAGAAGTATGCTCTTAGGGGAGTGTTTTGTTACCTAGGTGATAAGTCAAACTGTGAGTAACAATAGCCCTCACTAATGGATATAAAGTACAGTCTGAGAATCATCTCCATAGCTTACCCACTGGATAAGCCAATGGGCTCTGGCGTCCATGAGTTACTTGGATGTGTTAGCACTTGCTGAAGAGCCAAAGCTGTCCCTGCATTGAGTTTGAACCCCATGATCGAGTCTCACATGGTAAGAAGTGAAACTAGACAGAGAGCTCTGAACTTGCTACCCTAGCTACGAAAGGCTGCTTCCGGTGACAGTTGTATGCTGGTGAAAAAAGGAAGGTTTGTTTTAAGAAGCTGAGAGAAATAGAACCAGATAGGAGTGAAGTAAAGCCTTCTCTTGCAAAACCTGAACGTAGATCTATACTGGGAAAAACAATCCTAGAAGAAGCAACAGTTGATGCTGACATCCATTCCATAGCAAAATTACTGTGAAAGAAAGCAGCATCTCTTTGCCTAGTTTAACCTTAAAGAAAGGCTTTAAGGGAAAAAAATACACGAATTTCAAGTTGTGTCTGTATAGACATCCTTTTAATTATGAAAGCCACCCATACTGAAAAATAGGATATTTTTGCATATTGAGACTATCTTTCAAGTAGTTAATATCATTCAAGTAGTTATTTTACATTTCAGTTTTTGAGAGCATAATAGGGATCTATATATTTCCTGTGAGGCCAAATTTTAAATATCCTGATAGCTCATCCTAGCAAAACTCAAATTCAAACTCTGAGTCACAAAATTCCCCTCTCTCCTTTCTCAATTATTTATTTCTAATCTAGAACAGATATCTTTCTAGCTTTGTTGGTAGTGGTGGTGGGTTTGTTTTGGTAACTAAGAATCATCATTCACATCATATTCATATTCTAAATCCTTCCACAAAAATATTTCTCATTGATGAAATAAAACTTTTACTTGGTTTTAGCATTATACAAAGGATAAATGAAAAAACCTATTTCCACCTAATATTTAGTCTATAGTACTGTTAAATTTCCTCTATTATTTTAACTTCTCTTGGAAAATTCAAACATCTTATTTTTCACTCACCTGTTATTTTTAAATGAGGTAAAATTGACATACAATGTAGGCACAGATCATACATATACAGTTTAATAAGTTATAACTACAACTCCCATCAACATTTGGCATTTTCCATCACCCCAGAAAGTTTCCCTGTGTTCCTTTCCAGTCAAATTAATTTTCCTACACATAAAAGCAATCACTTTTCTCATTTCTATCATCAAGTTTAGTTCAGCTATTCCTGAATGTCATACAAATGAATATATACAGTATATAATTGTGGCTGGATTTTTTTTGCTCAACATTTTTTTTTGCGATTCATCCATTTTGTTGCATGCATCAGTTGTTCCAATTTTTAAATTTCTGAGTAGAATTTCTTGTATGGGTATACCATAATTTGTTTATCCATTTTCCTGTTGATGGATACTCGGTTTATTTCTAGGATTTGGCTGTTAAGAATAAAGTTGCTCTGAACATTCTTATATAAAACATTTTGAAGATGTATTTTCATTTCTCTTGAGAAAATAATAGGAGTAGAGTTTCTGGATCATAGGATAAGTGTATATTTAATTATGTAAGAAATAGTTTTCCAAAGTATTTTTTTCCATTCTACTCTCCCATTCAGTAAAATAGGGAAATTTCAATGCTTCACATCTACCAAATTCACAAAAAAGTACCATCCATCTTTTTTTTTAACTTTTAGTCATTCCAGTTGTATATATTTTTATATCAATTCAACATTTTTTATTATATCACCCACATTTATACCCATTTATACCATCTCCCTTAAACAATAACTACAGAGAATTTAAGGGATTGTACATAGGATGTTCTTTTTATATGCCTTCTAGGGTAATCAGATATTTACTAAATGTTCTTATTGTAATTAAAACAATACAATTATGATATATTTAGAATTTTCATAGCTACTGAGTACATATTTGGGGGGGATATTTTATGATACCATTATTGTGACTGGATTGTTTTATTTCTAGCCAAAAATAAACTATCCAAATTCACTCAACACTTGAGGGAAATTAACTTCTAAATTTCCTATAAGAAGATAGGGAGACACATAGCTATTTTTTTATTTTAAATGCCTCAAGAGAAAATCAAATGTCTCTTTCTTACTTCTATAGCCTGCTTGAATTCATCATCTACTTTCTCTCTTCAGATAACGCCACCAGGCTTCATTTTGCGGCATATCATGAAGGGTCCATTCAAGTTCCCATCCCATGTGCTGTAGCGAACGTGGTCTTCATCACCACTCTAATCATAGCTCTCGTTGCTTTATCAGGTGGGTCTGCACTTCATGAATGCATCAAAAGTTCTGATTAATTTAGGACAATCTCATTTTTCATACACGGCCAATTTCCTAGGCAATGCTAAATATGATCCCACGTTCCTTGAATAATTGATGCAGTACTTTTGTTTAGTTTTCTAGTGCTTTAGAAATATTACAAGTGCTTATGATTTATACAATGCTGTGGGAGAAAATTACATGTGAGCAGGTGTTTAAATCTGGAATAAAAGGGGCCGATTTAGAGTCTAAATATATAGACTTTTAACTGGAATAATGTGGGCTGCACATTCATTGTTGATGAAAAAAATAATACCTAAGCCATAGATTAACCAGGAATTGGTCAGTCTCTTATCTCAAAAGCCACAGAATATAGATATAGAATATATCTAGAAGCTCCCAGAGAGTCAGTTGTGTTATGGTATTCGAAACATACAGCTATACCAAGATACATTTGTGTCTTATACAAACATGAAATTTTACAGTTTTATGATACATCCCCAGCCATAAATTTTTGTGTATTCTGAATTGCTCCTCTGCAAAGTATTCTCTCCTCTACCTTCCAGTACAGGTCTGTATATACTACGTCTTCAAATTCTTCCCCATCTGCATTCAGATACAAAACCTTACTTGGAATTTTAGTGTATTTTAGCCTTTCTAGTCCAAAGACTATTTTCAAGATTTTAAAATTTACTCTCCACTTTCTGACCAAAGTGACTCCCTCTTATTTCTCATACCTAGTACCACGATGATTAGGCGCAATGAGAGATCAGATAAAGTGAGAAACTGCCTTCTTCCTACTCTTTCCAGAATTCACCTTCCTTTTTTATAATTTTAAATGGAGTATATATAACGTATAAAAATTTTGAATCACCATGTTGTACACCCGAAACTAATATAACATCTCTCGTCAACTATACTTCAAAATTTTTTTTAAAAAAGAACTCATTAAAAAAAAAAAAAAGGATTCACCTTCTTTCCTCTGTTCGTTTATCACCTAGCACAGCACAGCATCCCCTGAACTAGTTTTGCACACTGTGGGTATTTGGTTTCTTGTGTTACTAAAACAAACACTTTTCCTGTTCACAGTGGGCCAGTACAACTGTCCAGGCCAATATATGTCCTCAGTGCCACCAAACACCCATGTTTCTTCATGCTCAGATGATTGGATAGTATACCAGGGGAAATGTTATCTTATTTCCAAGAAAACAAGGAACTGGACCTTGGCCCAAAACTTTTGCTTCAAACACGGTGCCACTCTTGCTGTCATTGATTCTGAAGAGGACATGGTAAGATAGTATTCAAAAACAATTCCATAAGATATTGCTATTCTATTTTATATAGCTACTCTGTGGTTTCCTTCTAAGGGAAGACATTGTATCTGTCTCCCACCCGGGAAAATTTAGTCACAGAAAGCCACATGATCAGTCTGAGGTCAAAATGAGAGTTCAATTTAGTCTTTAAATGTGATTTGTTTAGCCTCAAAGGCCAAAAATCCACATGAGCTGAACCTACGTAGAACTAGTAAATAATCAGCTTAGCTATCATGCCTACGAGTTGCAGATTTAAGAAACAAGATTTATTACATACTTACTAGGACGGGTGGTTTAACATACAGTTCCTTTGTGCTTTCTTCAAGATCTTTTTAAAACAACATGTGGGTAGAACTGAACACTGGATTGGGCTGAAAAATGAAGCTGACCAGATGTGGAAATGGTCAAATGGCAAAAAATTTAATAACTGGTGAGTTTCAAGATATCTCTTTATCCTCCCCAGGATGGCAGCTCAAGGGAACCACTTTCCTTTTTTCCTTTAGAAGTACTGTTCTACATGAAGATTGAGCTCTTTATAAGCAGAACTTCAACAATCTCTTTTGTATGTTATACTCTATGGACTTCTTTAAAGAAGGGCTTTAATATTACCATTTTTTTCTTTTTATCTGCTTGGAATTCATATGATAAATGCTTCTTAGTAACTTGATCTCAGCAAATTTGAGTGGAATAAAACTCAGAAATATTCCAGGTATAAATATGATGGGAAAAAAATCCAACATTTCCAATCTCATATTTATATTTTATTGACAAGCTAGTAATTCCCTTTTTGCTTTCCCAGTTCTCATCTCCACAGAGATAAAGAACAGTATTTTCAATACCTAATTAGAAGCTTCTATGGATCTGAGAGAAAACCTGCCCCAGAATTAAAGATGCTGATTTTATTGCCATTACCTGTACATTTTAAAATTTGAAGGACATCGTACAAGTTTAGTGTTAATCTTTGTCATCTGAAAACTCAGACTTGAAAGAATTTCTAGCTCCCTAAATAGTTTTATGAAAATTAAAGAAACAGAAAATTAGTTTAAATCTCTAGAAAAGGAATCCTTGGTATGTATCACACCCACAAATGGGCACCAGGGACTGTTACCCTCTAAAACTCTATGCGCTAGTATACATGATTGTTGAACGTTTATACTTTCTGGGAATGGTTTGTGAACTCAAAAATGAACGAGTCACTTCTGTGGTGATACACCAACCAAAAAAATGGAGCCGTCTACTCTTAATTTTGTATCTTCTCACCACATACTATTCTTTTGGGTCTTTGTCAACTGTCTCTGCAGATTACTCTGTGATCATTTGATTGGCGCACTTGCTTCATGCATTCCTACTAAGAAAAAAAAAAGCAGGAACCACCACCTCCACCACCACAAAGTTGATTCTCATGTAACTGAACGGAAATGATAAACTGAAAATAATTCTGGTTTCTTTATTGTTGACAGGTTCAACCTTACAGGATCTGAGAACTGTGCATTTCTGAACAGCACAGAGGTCAGCAGCACAGAATGTGAAAAGAATTTACACTGGATATGTAGCAAACCCTCCAAATAAAGAGGAATCATATTTGCTTATATACTATTCTATCATGGAACTCAAGGAAATGTGTGTTGACAAATGGTGCTCTATGGTCAGAAGTTTCCCATAAAGACTTTGTGAAAAAAACTTTTTACTATTTTGGAAATTTTCTTCCAAACAAAACTGTGGAAAAAAGGGAGAAAAATTCCAGGAATATCTGCACTGTGGAATACTTCTGCCATGAGCTGAAAATGTTACAGGTTGACTAATTTTGTCCAAGAATGAGAAAAATGACTTCAACGCTTTTGAATGCACTTTATATTTTTTAAATTCAGAAATAATAAGGTAACTAAGTTTAGAGATATTATTTATTGTTGAATGACTGTGAACAACGTGTGCCCTTCATGCATTTGCACTGGATGAAGGAATTAAATAGTAGTATTAAAAGCTGAATGTAAACAGAGGAAATTTTAACTGGCAACAGAGGTATTTAGTCTAAATGCATTTTTCTTGAACTCAGAGGACATTTATCAATGGGCAAATGCTTATGAAATGAAGCTTTGTAATGTTTCTCTCTTTTTAAAGAAGTTTGTCAAGTTACTTTGTCATTTGCCCCCCAAAGAATGGGGTAATCATATATTTACGCCAGTCTTTTATTTTTCACTTTTTCAGCGTAGACTTGTCTTTTTCAATGGTACATAATTTATTGCTTTATACACAGTGTTTTACAGAGATAAAGACAAAAACAAAGAATATGAGGAATATTTGTAAAACAGATAAAAGTGTTGGAAAATGTGCAATATGTGATGTGGCAAATCTCTATCAGGAAAAAGTCTGTATTGTTCAAATCTGGAATAATACTAGTCCTATCTGTTTATAACCTTGTGCCTTTCCTGATCTATTCTATCACGTGCAATACTTCACGAGAAGTATTTTCTAAGTGCAATAACGTGTGTTTATTTGTTTGTCTTTTGTATCCAGTACAATCATAACCTGCTTTTATGTATGTTAAAATGAAAGTAGAATAAACAAAATGGTTTCTAAAAAGTGGTCATTCCTTCAAAATATATTAACATATCTCATGCTAGAAAGGAAGAAACAGAATACTATAACTTTTTTTCAAAGACATTTCTATTGTACAACCTTAGATTTATAATATGGTTTGTACTTTGTAAGTTGTTTTCATGTGTGTTTTCAAAGGGCTGTATCTACTTTTCTGTAAACAGCAAAAGTTCAGCAAATATTCTAATTGACTTTAGAGGAATTTATGTCATTTAAGAAATTTTGACTCTATCACTTTCTCTCTTTCTTTTATTGTTTATCACCCTGAAGAGGCACAGAGAAATTTGGAGGCGGCTAAAGTCACTTTGCAAGGATTTATTTATAAGCTCGTCCTCTCTCCAAAAGAGAGGATCATTTGTCCTCATAACTGATGTTCTGAAAGCATCTTATTCATTTCTGAAATGCTATACTCGTAGTTATTTACATAAAATAATTCATTCAATAGAAATAAGGCACTACATAATCTTCATGAGATTTTTCAATAAGGAAAAATAATACTACCTTCAAAATTGTTTTATGAATGTATTTCACAATATTCTCCTTCTCTGAAAGTTGGAAATGTATGCTATATGTAGTATCTTTAAACTGTTGTCACTAGTATGGCATATTGAAAAGAAATCTGGATTCCAGACACTGCTTAGCGATAAATAATATAGAGTTTCTTAATCTCAGTGTCCTTCAGTTCCTACAGGCTCCAAACTCTGATATCCTATCATTAATAACAACAATCTACTCCTGGGTCATGTTAGAAAGCAACGTCTTGGATCCACGCACTATGAAATGTGTAAGGGAAAGTGTAGATGTTGAGAGCTGGAGTGAAAGAGAAATACTGTCCAAGTTTCATTTCTGCCTCTCTCTAGTTGACCAGCTGTTTTAGTTAGAATTAGGTAGAAGTTTTGTTAAAATTAGCTAGAAGTTAAGCTAGTTAATACATGAAAATGGACGTAGAAGAACACCTGGCTCACAGTGAACCCCAAAGATGTATTAAACTTTAGTGGTGATCATTATAAATGGGAACACCATGCCCTCAAAGTAAGTTTAGAAAAAAGCAGCATTTCTACATGATGTGTCTATTTCTACATAGCATTTTTTGAGGGTTTTTAAATTTTTATTTATTTTTTTTTTTGAGAAAGAATTACTTTGTTATTTTATTTTTTAACATCCTTATTGGCGTACAATTGCTTTACAATGGTGTGTTAGTTTCTGCTCTATAACAAAGTGAATCAGTTATATATATACATATGTTCCCATATGTCCTCCCTCTTGCGTCTCCCTCCCTCCCACTCTCCCTTTCCCACCCCTCCAGGCTGTCACAAAGCACCGAGCTAATATCCCTGTGCCATGCGGCTTCTTCCCACTAGCTATCTACCTTACTAGGTTTGTTAGTGTGTGTATGTCCATGACTCTCTCTCGCCCTGTCAAAATTCACCCTTCCCCCTCCCCATATCCTCAAGTCCGTTCTCCAGTAGGTCTGCGTCTCTATTCCCGTCCCACCCCTAGGTTCTTCATGACATCCTTTTTTTTCTTAAATTCCATATATATGTGTTAGCATACGGTATTTGTCTTTTTCTTTCTGACTTACTTCACTCTGTATGACAGACTCTAGGTCTATCCATCTCATTACAAATAACTCAATTTCATTTCTTTTTAAGGCTGAGTAATATTCCATTGTATATATGTGCCACATCTTCTTTATCCATTCATCCGATGATGGGCACTTAGGTTGTTTCCATCTCCGGGCTATTGTAAATAGAGCTGCAATGAACATTTTGGTACATGACTCTTTTTGAATTTTGGTTTTCTCAGGGTATATGCCCAGTAGTGGGATTGCTGGGTCATATGGTAATTCTATTTGTAGTTTTTTAAGGAACCTCCATACTGTTCTCCATAGTGGCTGAACCAATTCACATTCCCACCAGCAGTGCAAGAGTGTTCCCTTTTCTCCACACCCTCTCCAGCATTTATTGTTTCTAGATTTTTTGATGATGGCCATTCTGACTGGTGTGAGATGATATCTCATTGTAGTTTTGATTTGCATTTCTCTAATGATTAATGATGTTGAGCATTCTTTCATGTGTTTGTTGGCATTCTGTATATCTTCTTTGGAGAAATGTCTATTTAGGTCTTCTGCCCACTTTTGGATTGGGTTGTTTGTTTTTTTGTTATTGAGCTGCATGAGCTGCTTGTAAATTTTGGGGATTAATCCTTTGTCAGTTGCTTCATTTGCAAATATTTTCTCCCATTCTGAGGGTTGTCTTTTGGTCTTGTTTATGGTTTCCTTTGCTGTGCAAAACCTTTGAAGTTTCATTAGGTCCCATTTTTTTACTTTTGTTTTTATTTCCATTTCTCTAGGAGGTGGGTCAAAAAGGATCTTGCTGTGATTTATGTCATAGAGTGTTCTGCCTATGTTTTCCTCTAAGAGTTTGATAGTTTCTGACCTTACATTTAGGTCTTTAATCCATTTTGAGCTTATTTTTGTGTATGGTGTTAGGGAGTGATCTAATCTCATACTTTGACATGTACCTGTCCAGTTTTCCCAGCACCATTTATTGAAGAGGCTGTCCTTTCTCCACTGTACATTCCTGCCACCTTTATCAAAGATAAGGTGTCCATATGTGTGTGGGTTTATCTCTGGGCTTTCTATCCTGTTCCATTGATCTATCTTTCTGTTTTTGTGCCAGTACCATACTGTCTTGATTACTGTAGCTTTGTAGTATAGTCTGAAGTCAGGGAGCCTGATTCCTCCAGCTCCTTTTTTCATTCTCAAGATTGCTTTGGCTATTCGGGGTCTTTTGTGTTTCCATACAAATTGCGAAATTTTTTGTTCTAGTTCTGTGAAAAATGCCAGTGGTAGTTTGATAGGGATTGCATTGAATCTGTAGATTGCTTTGGGTAGTAGAGTCATTTTCACAATGTTGATTCTTCCCATCCAAGAACATGGTATATCTCTCCATCTATTTGTATCATCTTTAATTTCTTTCATCAGTGTCTTATAATTTTCTGCATACAGAGGGTTTTTTTAAAAAAAAATGTATTCAATGAATGATTATTAAGCAACACTGTGGTGGACAGTAAAGTTAAAACACTAAGCAAATTTGGCATGAAAACTAGTCTTGGGGAATTTATGGTCTATTTGTAAAACAAACAGTAAAGTGTTATATTATGGTGGTGATGGAGCCTTATAACAGGGAATATGTAGGATGCTGTGGAAATATATCACAGATATCCTACTTTATTTTGTCCTGTATTCAAACTTTTAACTATCACTTTTCTGTGTTTTATTTGGTTTTTCCAACATAATTTCAATTTCTTCCTCTGGAAAGGGGAATAGTAGTTTACCTGCTTATCTCAGATGATTATAGGGATTCAATAAGTTTAAAAGTATTTTTAAAAGGCTAAAAGCTGGGCTTCCCTGGTGACGCAGTGGTTGGGAGTCCACCTGCTGATGCAGGGGACACAAGTTCGTGCCCTGGTCTGGGAAGATCCCACATGCCGCGGAGTGGCTGGGCCGGTGAGCCATGGCCGCTGAGCCTGCGCGTCTGGAGCCTGTGCTCCGCAACAGGAGAAGCCACAACAGTGAGAGGCCCGCGTACCGCAAAAAAAAAAAACAAAAAACCAAAGTTGGCAAAAATTGACATCTTTATTAAGTCTTTTACTCCATGCCATGATTTAATTCTCCATTAAATTCTTTAATTTTAGTCTTCTTTAATTTCTATCTTTAATTTCTTTCTGTACGTTATAGATTTTTGTATAGAACTCCTATATATCTCTTTAAATTTATTCCTAGGTATATTACATGTGTATATATACATATATATATTACACGTGTATATTACCATTGCAAATGGTATCTGGCAGGTGAAGGGGAGCAGGATTTGTCACCTCAAAATATGTCTCTTTGGCTTAAGGATCATGTTACGCCGATTATTTAAAAAAAATAAAAAAACAGCATTCCCAGGTGAAGCTCTGAAAACTGAATAGAAATTACCCTTTTGTAAGCGACATTTACATTTATAAGGGAAATCTCCATTTGTAAGGGTGTCTCCCTTTCTGTACAGGAAGAGAAGGGACTCTAGAAAATCTTAGTGGAGAAGGCAACAACTTAAATCTGTGTAACAACCTTACCCTTGTTTACTGTGCTTTTCCTGGTGGCCTCCATACCTGGCCGCCCTCTCCCTCCCCAACATCTTCTTTTGTCTTTACCTGGAAATATTATTTAAGGTTATGGTTTGGATCGTTTTGAGGAGTTACTTGGTTTTCCTGGTTCTCTCCCACATACACAGGAGGTACGCATGTTATTAAACTTCTGCTTGTTTTCTCCCATTAATCTGCCTTTTATTACAGGAGGTGTCTCAACCAAGAACCTAGAAGGGTAGAGAGAAAATTATTTTCCTTCCCCCATGTAGACAAGATAGTCACCCCAAAAGATTCACGACTTGGAAAATGTAAATATGTAACATTACATGGAAAGAAATTCAGATGGAATTAATGTTACCGACTTTCCGATAGATTCTCCTGAATTGGCCAGGTAGTCCCAAACTAATTACAAACATACCTTGGAGTTTTACTGTGCTTTGCTTTATGGCATTTTTCACAAATTGAGGGTTTGTGGCAACCCTGCATCAAACAAACCTATTGGTGCCATTTTTCCAACAGCATTTTCTTGCTTCACATCTTTGTTATCACCTTTTGGTAATTCTCGAAATATTTCGTTATATTATGGTGACCTGGGATCAGTGATCTCTGGTGTTACTACTGCAAAAAGATTATGACTCATTGATGGCTCAGATTGTTCCCGGTGAATTTAAGATTCTTGCCTTGTCATGAAAGAATTCGGAGACAAAGCGGGGAGGTTAAGAAAGTAAAGTGATTATTTACTTATGCAAGAATACGTTCTCAGAGGGAGAGAGCAGACAGGTGAGGAACTGCTACCCAGGGTTTCTTTGGCAAGCCAGTTATGAGAGGCTTACAAATGAAGGAGCGGA